AAGCATCTCTTAGCTAGAGCTCTCAGTTGTTCAGTGGGATCTCTTCCCTTCTCTTATCTTGGTTTACCCCTTAAGAAGGGTTCCCTTTCTAGAAGAGAATGGCAGCCTTTACTAGATTCTTTTTCTAAAAAACTGTCTCTTTGGAAAAATAAAAATCTCTCCATTGGAGGGCGTCTCACCTTGGTTAATTCAGTTTTATCATCTATCCCTCTCTATTATACCTCTTTCTTCAAACTGCCGAAATGGTTGATTCATGAGATTGACAAGTTTAGAAGGAACTTCCTTTGGAACGGTTATACCAATGTATCCAAAGTCAAATGCCTGGTGGCATGGAAGACTGTATGTTTACCTAAAAAGGAGGGGAGGCTTGGTGTTATCGATCTTACAGTTTTTAATCAAGCCCTCCTTTCAAAATGGATTTGGAAAATTTTTGATAGGGATTCTATTATTTCCAAAGTGATTTTTTCCTTATACTCCAAAGAAGACTCAAATCCTGTTGTGCGGCACCCCAAGAATCAAGCTTCTAAACTTCTCAAAGACCTCTTTTCCATTCACCCAGCTTTCTTCAGTTTTGTGAGATGGAAAGTGGGTAATGGTAGATCATGCAGATTTTGGCTAGATAAATGGTCTAGTCCTAATTCTTTAGGCAGTCTTTTCCCAAAGGCTTTCAACCTGGCTTTTTCAAAAGATTGTAATTTAAGATCTCAAGGATATATGCTAAATCATGTATGGCATTGGCATTTTACCCTCAGAAGAGGTATCAGCCCAGAAGAGAGACAGGAAATTCAGAAGCTCTATTCTCACCTTGAGTCCTTTTCTGGTTCTTTCACCCTTTCTCCTGACAGTCTATGGTGGCCTCTTCAATCATCAGGTATCTTCACAGTGAAATCCATCTATTCTGCTCTCATCTCGGGAGGTAGCAAGTCAAGGTACTGTAACTTCATCTGGAAATCTTCTATACCTCTGAAAGTTAAAATTTTCTTTTGGTTGGTCAGTAAACAGAAGCTTAATACTAAAGCTCTTTTGGTTACTAAGGGTTGGATTGGGGACCCTAGATGTCCTTTTTGTGGTCTTGTTGTCGAAGAGCAGGATCATTTGTTCATTACTTGCTCTTTTGCTTCATCCATCTGGCTGACTCTCTTCCCAGGTTTTAATGTAGCTTTATGGCCTACTTCCATGGATAGCCTGATTACCCTTACTGCTCCGCCCCTAAATGACAGGGATATTGGCATTATCTGGAATACGGTGCTCCCTTGCTGTTGCTGGTGTATTTGGAACTGTCGTAACCAACTTATCTTTAAAGATATCATGTCTAATCCAGAGAATATAGCTGCTAACGTTGCCAGATATACTCTTTTATGGGCAGGTTCCAAGGATGATAGACTTACAAGAAGGATCCGCAGAGCTGCTCTCAAGTTACAATTCCAAGAAATTGCGAAGAAAAAAGCAGGTGCGGACATGGATGAAAACTTCCTAGTTGATTAAGATGTCGCCTGGGGCAATCGGGGTGTGCAGCTGTTTTTCTTCAGTAGGTTCCCTATCATCAACAGGTGTTGGTAAAGTTGAGGAATGCAAGCTTTCTCTTGGTGGCACTGGTTTCCTCTTCTCCTTCTTTTGTGGGATTTTTAAACCTTTACGTTCTTTTTGACGCCTTTGTGCTTTTATGGGCGGTAGATTGTTTTCAGCCAGTGATTAGTTTGCTTTTGTTTTTCTGGGGGGTTCTCCCTACTGTGAGGTAGGTACAAGGGGGAAGAGTCATGATAGGTGACGACAAGGTCCGCTCCCTATCGACTCCTTTCTTCTTGTTCCTCCAAACTCAGTCTTTTTTGTAAGTTTTGTAAGTTTGTACATGTTTAGACTTCTTCTTCAGTACATATATGAATATATTTTGAGCAGGGAAATTTATTCTCTGCTTTTCAGCTCAAAAAAAAAAAATTTAACTGTACGTGGTACATTTTGATGCATCATTATTCAGAACTTTCTCTTTAAAAGACGTCACATGATTATCACGTGAAAAATATTAGGAATGTTAATAGCCAAACTAAATAAGAAATCCTTCCAAAATTTTCCATTTCTCCTTTAATCGAAAATAATGAAACTTGGTATTGAGCTGTAGTGAAAATAACCATGTTTAACAACATTCACAAGAAAATAAAGGAGAAGACTTAAGTTGAAAGTAAAAATTGACGAGAAAGGGTAGTTGGGGCAAATTTAACGGCGATCGATGTAATCAAAAGTTTAAAAGGACGAAGCTTTGAGGTATTATTTTGGATAGATGTCAAGCTTCAGGGTACCTAAATTTAAAATCAATGAAACTTCGAGGGAGCGGTAGACACACTAAAATTAAAGTAATTTTTTTATATATAACACACAAAACCTAAATTAAAAGTATGGAAGTCACATTGCTTTACAAGTACGAATGTGGATACATGTTGGTAAGCGATTACAATATTTATTTGCAAAAAGTAAACCATTACTAAAACTAGGATTAAATATGGCGTAAAGAAAGAAAATTAGATATGTTAATGAATAATATATCTGAATTGTGAATACTATCCATTGTTAAGATTTGAGAATAACTTTTACAATTTTTTTCAGTAGAGCTTAAATATACACTAAATCACATGGATATTTTTAGGTTTCACTCTTACAAACACTTTCAATAAAATAAACAACTCTGGTGCTGAGTGTATACTGTGTAATCTTCATATTATTACTTTTTTTTTCCTTCACCCAAACAAATGCTTTCTTACGGTATTAATATTGGAAACATGACATACAACAAGACGAAATATGCATGTGTCAATTAAACAAAATTAATTAAAATTAGAAGAATACCTAGAATGATGTGATCATTCGTAATCCATCTCTTAAGATTTACCTGAAAAATCTATCTCCCAAGATCTATTTAAAAATTTCAAAGTTTCCTCAAGAGAAAAGCCTCTGATTGAAATTCATATGTCACTGAAAATGAGCAATACTGAGAGATATGTTCTCAAAATTCTATTTCTCTTCTGTTATTTAGTACTTCTCATAAAGCTACATATGAACCTTATATAGGATTACACTTTCCTTATAGATGTTAAATTCTGACAATTCTTAATTGTTCAAATCTCATTCTGTAACAATTAACAATAGAATGTTCTCCATAATAATTAAGGATAAAATATTATTTCTATAACAATTAAGGATAGAAATAGAATTGTATTGCATATATACCTCTTATAATGACATAAGTAATACCAATTGGATCCTATATTGAGAACCAATTATTAATCAAATTAATAGTTTTAATTTAATAGTCAAATCCCTATCCGACCAACTGTTCATAAAAACTCTTCCATATTATGAGATTAATTATTTATAAATAATATCTTATATTCAATCCCCTCCAGTATCATTTAATTATTTATAAATAATATCTTATATTCAGTCCCCTCCAGTGTCATTTATTTTAAGCAACTCTTTTGAGCATGACAGTTTACCTATTTGCTCATGCCTAAATTGCAATTCCCCTGAACGTAAATAAAAATCATTTTTAAGCATCAAAATATTTTATTTTTTATAAGAACATATATATATATATATATATATATATATATTTTTCAAAACCACCTGTCGACGGGAATTTTATAACTTCGTGGGAATGCATAATAAATTAATTCATCATAATGAGCGTGCTGGATCCTAACTAAATATCCATCACTTTTCTAAATAAAATCTAGTAACCCAATGTTCATATTATGTAGTGCTTGCTAAACAAGCCTAACTATCACATCAAAGCATACTAAATTATGAAATCGAAAATGACAATATCATCAAGTTAAAAGGATCATTTAGCAATCTGAATTCTTCATCTCCTAGATGACTTGTCCTAGAGAATTCAAATATAGGCTAATGCTATACACATCATAATGTGTGTTACTAACATACACCAGGGGAATCCCATTCCCGGTGGTTGAGACTCACCACCATATCTCACGTGTCAATGTCATGCATAAATACCTGGTATAACTAAGTTATCTGTTACTAGTTATAGGTTAAGCATGAATTTAAAAGATCTCTAAGTTAGATTACATCTCCAAGCATGTGACACATCACAGTACATGATCTAACAAAAACAATTTCTGATGATACTATAACAATTATAGAAATAATACCTAAATTATATGTGCAACAATAAAATCATTATTAATATTCAAAAATATTACATAAAATATATTGGATGTTCAAGGGCATATTATTACTATTCCAACAATTAAAGTGTCATTAACCTAATTAATCTAGGTTACTTGGTCACTGTATTTTTATCACTTAATTGGATGCTCATACCTATGTTTTAATTGCTTGGATAGCTGATCAGGTAATTAAATACTAATTGGGTTGTTGATCACTACTAATGTTTTACGTCAATTAACATAATATATTTCAAGGACGTGACATGAAAAGCTCCTGATCATTTGACAAAACAAATTTTATCATATGCGTAATGACTTAATCACTAGAAATGAAAATTTATGACATATCAAACAAATTGTGTTGGGTTATTATACTGTATTTGATATTCTTTTTTCTTGAAAATATTAACTTGCAATATAGTGAGTAAGTTATATTGCTCAATGACGAATGGAAACATACAAGTCAAATTGACAAAGAGCCTTAAAAGTAACTAACAATCTATTTGCAATTTAATTATACGACTGATCACCCAAGCAAATAAATTAAGTATAAGTATGAACACGAAATCAAAAGATAAATACAGTAACCAAATGATCCAATTAATCCTAAATAGATGGACAAGCGCCCCAAAAACAAGGCAAAAGTTAAGGAGTTGGTTCTTGCTTGCATAAACACTCAATTACACAAATGCCCCCACTCCGACAGACCCACCCACCCAAAAAAAAAAAAGAATGAAAGTGATTTTTTTTTTTTCTCCTTACAAAACCAATATATAAATTAGAGGGCAGATGGCTTACTCTCGAAGCCTCTCCGAACCCAAACCAAAATCCAACCAAACCCAAAATCTCAACCCCCACAAAAATCCCATGCATGCATGCATGCAATTGCATGATATGCTCCTCGCATGACATAATAGATATCATCTCAACCAACACAGTATATTATATGACCAAATTAACTCTTTATACGTTAGGAAACAAACTCCTAATTAAGATCAGTAGAGAGAGAGAGGAAAAAAGTTGCAGCTCTAGAGAGAGAGAGAAGCAAAGAGAAGAAAGACAGAGAATGGCCTGCTGTCCTTTTTGAATGGAAACTCTCTCTCTCTCTCTCTCTCTCTCTCTCTCTCTCTCTCTCCAATCTTTTCCTCTTCAATTTCTTCCTTGTTTCATCTCGACCCTCATCAATCTCTCCACTCACTCACACAGAATTTCCCAAAATTAGCATCTCCTGAAATCTCATAAAGTTTCAGTCTTTGCATTAAAGGTCGCACCTTTGTTCTTCCTTTCCCCTTCAACGCCTTGGGTTGTCTCGTCGGCGGTGAGTTCTATCATCGTCATCCATCGGCGTTCTTTTGGTTTCTAGATTTGATGCAATTGTTTCTGCAGAAATTTTTATGGGTGTTTTTGCTGAATTATTATTTGTTGTTCTTCTGGGTTTTCTGTTTTGGAGAGAATTGAGATGCATACGGTTTTATTTGGGGATAGTCGGGGTCCAGCGTCTATGCGATTTGGGTGCGTGTGATTGGGGTTTTTGCGGTTTAGTTTGATCCTTTGATGTCTCTTAGTAATCCAATTTTGGTGGTTTTTTGTTTGGATTTAGAGTATCAAGCATATGTTCTTTTGTTTGGTCCTCGGATGCTGATGAGTCACTGTCCTTAATTTTTTTGGTTGGGTCATCAACTGCGCGCTTTTTATTTATAAGAAAATTTTCATATGATGCTTTATGTTCTCCAATTTTCTTTTCTTTTTCTGCATTTGACTGTTGAATTGATAGTTTTATGATCTTTTGTCCTTGATATCTGCAGCCCGTAGATCTGCATTGTTGAATGAACTGGCTTTTAAAGCATGGGAGGAGGAAGAACAACTGAGTATGATGAATTTGAGATGCTTCTTGGAGAAATCCCAAGTGCGACATTAGATCCTATTCCTGTTGATCCCTCGTCGGTTTTAGAATCAATTTCAATCGACGAGAAGAACAAATCACCTTATCCTTCGAGCAAGTTCACAAACTTGTACGATTCTACTCAATCTGCGGAAATTGAAGGAAACACGGGTTTGTTTGGTGGCTTGAGCTTACCTGAAATCTCAGTTGATTGGAAGCTTAGAAGTAGTACTGGTCAAGATGCACATTGCTTTAATGGTGAACAAGATGAACTGAACTTGGCATTTGATAAGATGGGCTTCAAGGACAGTGTAGTAGCAAAACTAACCAATCCTTCATTTGTTAAACTTGCTCATGCCTCTCCAAATAATAGTTCCTTGAACAGTTCACAGGCTCTTTGTGGCTCAGATAATATAGAAATGTCCATTTCATCGTTGCATCAACATTTAAATGGAATCAATATTGATACTCGAAGCAATTTGAATTTTCCCGTGAATAACGGACTTGAATTGAAGAAGCAACAGCCAGAGAAGATATCAAGTGATTTAAGGGCTATGACTATAAATCCCAAAGTGCATGCATACCAGCAGCAGTTCTTTGATTCACGAGCTGCAACTTTTATGCCCCCTCGGTGTCTTGGCCAATCTTTAACATGGAATAATTTGGAGGAAGAAAGGTTTTATAGATTGCAGCAGCAGTATTTATACCAACATCAGCTTCACAAGCACAGACCAGTGATGTTTCAATATGGAAAGAATATGAACTCAGCTATTAAGCCTTTAAGTGATCCAAACTTGTATTGGAATGATAATGTTGTTTGTAGTGGCCTCCAGCAATACCATCCTCAGAGTTCATTCAGAAGAGTTGAGGGCGGAGAAGTTCCTTGCAGAAGCCAGTTTGATAGTGACGAAAATTTATCTGAGCATCAAGTTTCGGACAAAGTTGGGAAACAATATGTTCCTGAAAAAATTTTGACACGGACACATGGCGTGAATTCACTGAGATCTCTTACATCCAACTCCTTTATGAACTATGAATACTTGAAGTTGGATGGTGAAAGCTCACGAAGTTCCTCTCCTGATAGTTTAGATTCAATTCATCCTAACAGTTCCATAGATGAAGTTATTGGAAGAATTTACTCTTTGGCAAAAGACCAATATGGTTGCCGTTTCTTGCAGAGAAAATTGATAGATGGTAGTTTGGAAGATGTTAATATCATTTTCTTTGAGATTATTGATCACATTGTGGAGCTCGTGGTTGATCCTTTTGGGAACTATCTTATACAAAAGTTGCTTGAGGTCTGTAGTGAGGATCAAAGAATGCAGATAATCGATGCCATTACGAGAGAGAAGAAAACGCTTCTTAGGATCTCCAGTAGCATGCATGGGTAAGTGTCTTTTTGCATCATAGCATAAACAAAGACACCTCCTGTATTATGAGAGTATGGTCACTTCTATTAGCACGCACACCCCTAAACTCCCCAGATGGTTATTATTTTCCCATTAGATCGGGTTGTCATGTTGCAACACCCCTATAATATAGGGTGTACCCCTGCAATTAACCGTAATAAAGGTTTGGGTTAATTGCACATAGACCCCTGTAATATTGCCCTCCGGAAGTTATTAACCGCGCAGTTTGATTTTGGCAGATAGGGCCCTTGGGTGAAATATTTTATGGCCCGTTTTACCCTGGGCGAATATTACCAGATGGTGAAATTAGTGAGTATATGAGTTAAAAAGTCAAACTAATTTCATTCCGGGGTCTATCTGCCAAAAATCAAAATGCAGGATTAAATAGTTCCAGAGGGCGACAGTGCAAGGCGTTTGTGTGCGATTAACCCTAAAAGTTCTTATGCAATTAACCCTGGCTAAAAGTTCTTACAATTTCTCATAATTGGCTATTGATTGTATTTGCCACCAAATGCAGAACCCGTGTCGTTCAAAAAGTGATAAAAACTCTCCAAACCACAGAGCAAATGTACATGGTTGTCTCCTCTCTGAAGTGTGGTATAATTTCTTTGATGAAGGACATCAATGGAAATCATGTTGCACAGCACTGCTTGCAATACTTTTCGCCTGAACAGAATGAGGTAGGCTTTAATTGTACAATATAGAACTCAACACGAAAAGTTACATCTTTTGTTTTGTCCCTAAATCCAGTTTGTGCTGTTTTACCTTCCGAAACTATCATATAATGCTTGTGTACACTTTTTCTTGTCCTGAAAAAGCATGCCCAAGAATGACAACTCAGATTTGTAATGACAACGGTTTACACATAGAACCTCAACTTGAAACTGAAGTACATTAATCTATAAAGAGATGACTATTTGGATAGAATAATTTTTAAAAAAGCTTATGAATATCAAGGCTGAATGGTTCATAAGCGTAAAGCTTCAAGCATAATATGTAAATGCTAGGAATTTCCTTGAGGCAAAAAGACGGATAAAAAACGTAACTGCTCCAACTGGATATCATATTAAATTTTGGTAAACTTACATCTGATGTTATACTCCCAAGTGTATCCAGACTTTCAAAGAAATATCGTGAAATTCATGTGTTCTCATGTTCAATACTTAATCATGACGTTCTAAAGATGAAATCAGGGACTTCAGAAACCCAACTTAATTGGTGCTATTTTTTCCAGATCTTCTAGGACTTTTATCTGTAGTCTTGCAGGTACTGATTTTTTTCTTTTCTTTTCTTTTTTTTCTTTTTTTTTTTTTTTGCACTTTGCTTACTGAACTATTACATAACATTTGCCAAGTCAAGGAATGTATCAGTGCTTACTCTCATCAGGTGATCACAAATTGCTAATAACTACATTATACTTATTTTTGAACTTCTATTGCCGTGTAAAATTACCATTTGTGGGTTAATTTTTAGGCTCAGATGGCAGATAGTATTCCCCAGTGCAGTAGAACATTAAACACATAGGAATTTACATTTCTTGACCCTTACTGAAAATGCACCTTTCTTCATTTACAGTTCCTTTTTGATGCTGCAATTTCTCATTGTGTTGAAATTGCGACGGATCGTCAAGGTTGTTGTGTGCTTCAAAAGTGTGTGCAGTATTCATATGGTGATCAGAGAACCAGGCTAATGTCTGAGATATCTTCTTTTTCACTTGTTCTTTCTCAAGATCCTTTTGGGTAAATATTCGGCCTTCCACTTAAATTTTTTCATATTGGAATCTTTTTTTATCCCTTTTAGTTTCTGTCACTGTGCTTCTGGGTTTAATACTGGCAAATCTTGCAGAAATTATGTAGTGCAATATATCCTTGATCAAAAGGTACTATGGGTAATTACTGCTATAATGGACCAACTAGAAGGCAACTATGGCATTCTGTCGACACAAAAGCATAGCAGCAATGTGGTGGAAAAATGCTTAAAACTTGCAGAAGAGAAATATCGTGCTAAAATTATTAGCGAATTGATGAACTCTCCTCAATTCCTCCAAATACTACAAGATGCTTATGGAAATTATGTCATTCAGTCAGCTCTCAAGTTATGCAGGGTATAATACTCGTATCATTTAATCGGCATATTTTTTTTTGGGCTACTTGTGGATAGATCACCTCCTGTAGTATCGTTGTTTTGAACTTACTTCCCCTTGTAGTTTCAATTTAGCAGGAGACATCGGGGGTGATTATTATTTTTTAACTCTTGTACCCTCAGGTATACTCGCTAATTTTACCCAGGGGTAATATCTGCCAAATTTTCACTTAGGTAAAAGGGTCAGAAAGGCTTCACCTTGGAGGACCATCTGCAAAAATGAAAATACCAGGGTAGAAAGTTCAAAACAATGATACTAAAGGGTGTCTGTGCCATTAACCCTATTATTTTTGCAATACTATCTCATTATCTTTATTTTCTTTTCTTTCCCTTTTTTAAAAAAATTCAGGGAGCTCTTTATGCTACTCTTGTGGAGGCTATCAAGCCTCATGTGTCTGCACTCCGGAATCATCCATACGGGAAGAAAGTCTTATTGAATACCAGTCTGAAGAAATAATGATGTATTAAATCAGTTTCACATTGTTGCAGCAGTAGTTGAAGCTCGTATCATTTGCGCGAGAAAGTTAGTTTTGGAAGATTTGCCGGAGGAAGGTAAAGTACACGTCAGTAAAGAAAGAAGCACAATGTATGTGTTTGTAGAGCAAAAGCTGTTGCAGAAAAATGTATAGTTGTCTGCAGAGTTAGCTGCTGGATATATCATGGTTTTTTTTCCCTCCCCATTTCTGCAAAAAGAATTTCACGATTGCTGCTGTATTTGCTTATAGATCTCAGTGACCCTCAAAAGGATGGTTTGTGCTTTAGAGTTTAAACTCCCCACTTTGAGCTTTTCTCTTGTTACTACTTTTGTACATACGGCCATAATTTCAGGTTTGTACTCAACTCAGCAACAGAATAAAAAAAGCTGCACCCACAAATGATAGCTACTTCACGGTATCCCTTTAGTTATGCCTAATGAATAGATGATAGCTTTCATCCTTGAGCAAAGTAAATTCTTTCAGAAGATATCATTTTCACTCTTTTATTTATGGCAACAAGAACTAATGATATTACAACAAGACGATGTCGTCGCATCAAGGCTTATTAAAGCAGAATCCTGTATTATCTCAGGGAAGACAAATCTTTTTATTTTCAACACAAGTATACATCGTCGTCTCAGGAAGATAATCTTTTTCCTTTTTAATCCTCTCCAAGGAAGATAATCTTTTTTCCTTTTTAATCCTTTCCAAGGCAACTATAAATTGCCATGGGTCTGGAGAGCAATTCCACAGGATAATTCTCTCATTATTCTTAAAAGCTTCGAAGACTGCAAGAACAACTGCAGAAAAGGTTGTGCTTCAAAGACGTTTCCAACAAACATTATTCCCCTCAATGATGTGAGCTTTTTTCTTTTACTTTATTCTCTGAATGGGATATACCTATACAACACAAAGAAAGAAGGTTCTATCACCTTCACTATTGCGAACAATCAACTTCTGTCAAGATATTTGCATCTATTACTTTCACCGCTGCGAACAATCAACTTCCCTCAAGATATTTGCAGCATCCTCTGGAAATACTGGATTAATATAGCATCCACTGCCCATTTCAAATCCCCCGGTAACACCCAACTGAGGAACAATCTGAAGGAACCAGTGAGCGCAAGGTAAGTGATCGGACGGTAATTCAAATGGCGCAGTGTGGATCATGAAGTTGTATGGTGGGTCATTCAACTGACTCGACATCTTAAGAAGCATTAGCTTTAACAAACCACCGAAATCTACAACCTGTCCGCAAACATCCAACAGTTCAAAGTATGAGGCATGCAAGCATATGATATGACAGTGGAAATTATGCATGTATCTATGTGCATGGTAAAAAGTGGGAGCAGCAGTGGCAGCTCATCCGATTAAAAATGCCTACACCAAATTAGACTAGTGATATGACTTCTCATGATAGTCACATCGGAGCATGTGGACCACACCACTCCTGTTTGTAGATAGTTTTGCTAAATGAGGTGGCAACTCATACTCATGCGTGCACGCATGCATGCATACATACATATAGTGTATAATATCATAATGTATCAGAGGTTAGTATGACCTTATGTGCCATGGCTATGGGGCATGCAGCAAAACAAAGCCATCTCGAGCATAATCTTTCCAGTAGTATATTAGCATAACAAAACATGTATTCTCCTTTGCAGAAATTAGTTTGATGTAAGATATGGGTGTTGTTTGTGCGTGATGGTATTTCATGATTGTGTATCAAGTAAGTAAATTCCTAAGATCATAATTGGTGTCAGGACACAGAAAGCTGGAAATGAGAAAGGGTGAGGTAAGAAGATCAAGATAGCTAGCAAGCTAGTATAGACAAGAGGGTGTGTCCATTAGGCGGTATATTAAATTAATCCTTAAGACCTTTTCTTTAACAGACACCAGGCGACAACTGCATTCAGGCTCCATGAAAATCTTAAAAAGGTCAATGTGCAACCGAAGGGAAATTTTAATGAAACTAAGGCTCCAATATCAACTTAGCAGACTTTGTTTTACGTTGAAATTAGAGTAAAAACAAATAGATCAAGTGATCAACAGATTACTATACCCCATCTTAAGAACTTGTGAAATATTTCCCCCTAAATAGGATATCGAACTAGAGAGATTTAGGTTGCAGACTAGGGTTTTAGAAGAAGGGAGAGGGGGAATGGGGAGAAAGCTGAAAGGGAAATGAGAAAGGAAGAAAAAAGAAACAATTGATCTGGATAAGATTCAGTAACTTAATGATCAGGGTTTCACATTTTCAATTGAATTTCACACCCAACATTGCTTCGTAAAACATGTAACACAACAAGTAATGTTTCTCCTCTTTGATACTGAATATTCATAAAATTTCATTCCAAGGACTCTACTACATGTAAATAGGGTTGCTGTTGACACTTTGAACAAAATATTCTTAACTCAAACTATGCCAAATAAACTGAACAAAACCAAATAAATGATAATTAATCAAGAGTCAAACACTACTTACTAACTATAATAATTGTACTAGCAATGAAAAATTACAAAACCAATTTTGCTTTGAGATGAGGTTATGTCTGACTTGCTTCATCTGCAATTCTACATGGTTTGATATTGAACTCAAGAAGTCATTTTGTATCACCACTTGACGCTTGACAAAATGTTCTTAATTTTCCCATATCTACTAGTATACTAATACCCAACTAGTTCTAATAATGTATTAACATCGATGACTGTCTCAGGAGTGAGCAAATAGTAGATAGCTACAATGGATTAACAACAGAAGTAATAGTGTAATCATATAGTGAAGGAAAAAATTACCTTCTCTTCATCTATATCATGGAAATACGATGTGTGATCTCGAGGAACAATCCAAATCTCAAAAGGATATGTAGCTGCAAAAGGAACAATGGAAAAGAAATGTGTTGACTTATTAATCAAAATATCCTTGGATAGAGCCTCGCACAAGCCACACTTCCCAGTTCGATCATAGTACTCCTTCATACTTTTAAGCCGAGAAGAGACTGATGGAGGAACTATTGGAAGACCAATCATCTGGCTGTGTGAATGAGTCAATGATGCTCCCGCAGATGCACCATGATTCTTAAACACCTATTATGCATTAAAAAGGGAAAAAAGGAAAAAGAAAAAGAACTCGGCTTAAATATATGAACCTCATACAAAATAAAACTAAAAGCGTTAACTGACCATGGACAAATCTCAACAAGTAGATTAAAAGGCCACCAAGGTTATTCATTGTAAATAACACAATTTAACCACCTTAAATCCTTAATTATCTTATAAATAACAGAAAGTTTACCCCATGTCATCTCCCTCTTTCTTGCAAATGTAATTTGGTAAAATAAAAAAAAGCTTGATTTCTTTATTTCTATTGCACCTAGAGTACACTAATAAGTGATGCAGTTAACTTGGAAGTCCAAAAAATTCCTTCAATGGGGAGTTGATAGAAGCTTATTTCTTGCATCTCATAATAGAAATGATCCAATTCCAATAGCAACTCATACTAGCACAGTTAGGGGTTGTTTGGTAGATTGCAATTGTAAAATGTAGCATGTAGGAAATTATGCATGCTACGTTTGTTGCAGGAAATAAACCTCAAATTTACTGTTTGGATATCTACATTTTTTGTGGTCAGCATATTTCCAAATCTAACTCTAATGTTTGGTTAGTTGCAAACTTGTTAGATTTTTGTTGTTGTTGTTGTTGTAGGGAATGCATATTCATTGTAGTCAGTGTTTGTTTTTCAGCAAATGTAAAATGATCTGCATTTTTCGAGTTGGAATTCACTAATTTGATGACGTGGAATTAATTTTTTTATAAAATATTTTTCAAGGCAAACTTAACATTTGTTGCAGCCAGTTTGTCTGCAGCGCAACTTTTTTTAACAAAATGTAAATCAAATTACCATAAACAATTACCTTGTTGGAAACCAAATATTACAAATAGAAATTTGTAGCAACATTTACCGCTGTATGTCTATTTCATGTTGAACCAAACAGCCCTTAAAGTTGAGATGTAGAATCCAATTCATCTAACCGGTTATTAGACCAAATAGATCAGTTAAATAACACATAATATGCAGAACCAAATCATATAATATTACTTTCAATAACAAGAAACGAAGCAGGGAAATTAGATGTCTGAAATCTTAATGTATTTAGAAGTATTTCTAATGGTTCCAAAACAGTTCATCAATAAATCTAAGTACATTAACGTTAACTCAGAATATAATTAACCATAATCAACCATCTAACCCGCAGAAATTAGAAGAAGAAAAAAATCAAACTGCACAATTTGCATTACCTGCACGTACTTAACGGATCCAACCCGCTTCAGCTGCAAGATCCGCTCTTTATACGCCCTGACCACCTCCCCCACCTCCGCCTCCGACAAATCCGGCAAATGAACCGAATGCGTCGTGCTCTCAATCACCACATCATGAAACCCGAAACCCGCAACCACGCACCCTTTCGGATCCAGTCTCTCCGGATCCGATATTATCCCCTCGTCTCTTTTCAGCGCCGGATAAAGATTCTCAATGACTCTCACCTTCCAATTGCTAGAACCCTTCGGAAATCGAAAGATCTCTGGAGCGCACTCGCTCTCGTGGCCAATACAAAAGGGGCAAGAACTAGGGTTAGGGTTTTTAGGGTTAGGGTTTGAGTGAGATTTGAAGTCGGAGGGGCGGCGAGATCGGGCCGGAGAGAAGATGACCCATCGGTTGAAGATGGAGTCCCGCCGGAGCTCAGGGGATCGAGAGGAGGAAGACGACATGGCTTGCTTTTTTTGAGATTTTTTTTTTTTTTTTTGGAGGTGGGGGCGGGGATTTTTGCTAATTTTGGCTCGATTTGGAAAAAAAAATTTCCGCGGTCGCGGGGGCAAATGAAACGTGTGAACTGCGTGAAATGGACGCAGCAGGCGGAGTTGAATCGAGGATGGGCTGAATATTAAATTGTTAACCGCTTTTGGACAAGAATGTGATTATGGCTACAGTGAGACTGCAGTGGATAATGGGGAGAATTATGGGGAGATCCTTCTGAGTGACGGGCAATTATTTTAATGTACCGGGTGGGGAAGTTGGGGACGATGGGGTGAGATATGGGCTCTAGATCTTTAACACGTTTCAGACGAGTTTGTGTGGTGAGTACCGAAATTTATTGGTGAGATTGGATCCCACCTGACAATATTTTTACCAAGAGGGTGCAATTTTCTGCGGTAAAAAAAGATATCATGCTCTCTTTGCTTGCATAAATATCGCGGTCCTTTCTTTCCTTTTCTTTTTCTATTATTGCTTGATCCTTGATTTTTTTTTTATTAAGGGGTTGTTTGGTTCGTTTCCTAGATATAGGGAAATGCATTTCTATGTACAAAAACACAAGTTTTGAGTTTTCTAAATTTTTCCAAGAAATAGATTGTTTCGCTTTGGTTCGTACAAAAAAATGGTGAAAAACCAATGTATTTATTTTTCTTGTGTTTGGTTCGCATGGAAAAAAAGAGAAAACTTTTGTTTATATGGTAAAAGCTGACGTGACTGTAGTTTTCGTCGATTTCACGAGGTTGATGAAGGAATTGGGGAAGAGAAAAAAATCTGATGTGGCGGCGATTTTCACCGAGTTTCCTTTCTTCAACTCTAGCGAACCAAAGATGGGAAAAAACCGACGGAAAGCTTATATCCTACATGGCCACGAAAAATCTGATGTGAAAGCGGTGTAAAACTTTTCCACCGAGTTAAAAAAACGAACCAAACAGCCCCTAAGAATATTGATATCTTCCAAGTATAAAAGGAGAGAGTTTTTCCTAGAATTGATAAGAAGTTGTGAATCCTTAATCGAAGAGTGGAGTGTTTAGCTCTCTTCAATTCCTAGTAATTAATAGTCATTATTGGAAGGAAAGCCAATCAATATATGGAATTTAGCAGCATTATTCTCGACTACATAATTCGGAGAAAAAAATTAATATATTAAGATTATGTAACATATTAACCTATTAAGTGCATAATTATCAAGGATAAAATTGGAACCAAGTGTACGGCTCAACGACAACAATAACAGTAATAAGCTTGCCCTAATAATAAACATAATAGTATATATCACCTCTCCCTGATTTTCAAATTAAAAGCTAGTCATCCTCTATTGACCATATCCTATAGGGTGACACTAGGGGTACATCCCCAACCACACCTCCAACCGCATCCCCTCTCTCATTTGCTACAGTGCACCGGGCCCCACATGTGATTTTAAATGTGCCCCGACCACACCTCCAACCACATCCCCTCTCTCATTTACTACAGTGCACCGGGCCCCACATGGGATTTTAAAATTTTAAAATCTCATGTGGGGCCCGATGTACTGTAGCAAATGAGAAAGGGGATGTGGTTGGAGGTGTGGTTGGGGGTGTGCCCCTATCATTTTCCTATCCTATATTGCAAGTATGATTTAATTTTAATAATTTATATATGCCTTCTATTCTTTTCGGTCATCTCGGTGGGTGCAAGATGACCACGTGAGATTGCAGCTACAATTGAAGGGAGAATCCTTTTGGCTTTCCAACTCAAAGGTGCGATGCGGTACGCACCATATACTTGGGTGGTGATGGTTGTGGGTTGTCATGGGTAAATACGAACCTCATGGCTCATGTGTGTTTAGCCTTTTCTAAAATATAGAATAAAAGTCAGTTCATATTTGCTATTGGTTAGTCTTTTCCTAATTGTTGACTATGTAAGATTCATGGGAAATACAATAGGATACTGGCATGATGCGGTCACAAAGGCAATTTGCTTGCGCAAAAAAAATAAAAGTTCAAATAAAAAAAAAAGAACAAAAGATTCTATGTAATAATCCCAATATCTTTGTATTTGGAATTTTTTTAAAGGCAAATATATTAGAAAGCCCCCTAAACTTTGGACCACTAACAAATAACCTCCTATAACTTTCAAAATATCAGAAAACCCTTTTGCGTTAGGGGTTATCAGATAATCTCATTGAAGTTTAAGAATTTATCACGAAATCCCTCTAACAGACTAAATATCTGAAACTCACAATTTTCACATGACTGGGTAAAATTATGTAGAGGCATATTTTTGCCAGTGAAAACTTTGGTTACCACTGTTGAGGTATTTGATAAAATCTTAAATTTTAAATGGGGTTTTCTATAAAACTCCTAGCTTAAGGGGGTTTTTATGATATTTTGAAAGTTACGGGAGGCACTGTTATAAATAGCGGTAAATAGCCCCACAATAGCGATGCTAATAGCGTTATTGGTCCCTTCACGCTACGCTATCGTCCAATAACGGTGACATATTGAGGAATATGCGCTTTTCATTCGTAAAAGCGGCCAATAGCGCGCCCTAATGGTAAATAGCGGACGATTGCGTGCAAAATCCGCTTTTTGACTGCTATTTAAAATCGGTTTGGGGTTTATTTTTTTAAAATTAAATCTGATTTTTAACCATTGCATTCCACTACCTTCCACGATTTTCAGCGTGCTTCCGCCGTCTCTCATACCCTCTGGCACCTAACTCAGCACTTCCTCTCACCTCCTTCACCGTGAGCTCCTCTTAGGACAGTCTTCTCACTGCTTAGCTCATCTTCTTGAAGACGACGACTCTTTTACTTCTCTTCCAGTCGTCTTTAGTATTATGTGACGATTACATGTCTATTTCATGTTTAGGATCTCTTTAAATCATCAAATATGTACTTTTAGATTTTCTAGATTTCTCTTTAATCTTTTTTTTAGTATTTAAACATATCTAAATTATACCGTTATTTGATTTTACGCTTTTTGCCGCTATTTTATTGCAATAGCCCCAAATTGCCTTAGCGATGCCTCACCGCTACGCGACGCTATCCGCTATCGATAACCTTGATGTGAGGTTATCTGATTGATCGTCCAAAGTTAAGGGGCTGGTTTATGATATATAGTCTTTTTTTAAATTATGCATCAAGTATTTATGATTATCAGCTTATCCTTAAAATTATCTCAAAGCCATTAAGAAGTGGTTGCTAAAAATGTAAAATATAGAAAATATTTTAGCAATTAGCATTTGTTGCATAAAATCAATTTCTAATTCATTCTTCAAATATCTAACTTTTACTGTGGAAAATATGTTTTCAATATAAATTTAGTATTTAGCTGATACAATGGTAGAAAAAACTACACGATTTGGTTGATGTAGTAGATTTTTACTTTTTTAAATACTTTTTTTGGAGCGCTCATGTCATGCTGGTTGTCATGTTTACTACGGTCTTTCTACAGAGTATAACTTCATTTACCTTTTCAGATTACAATGTTACAAACCAAAAATTTAAAACTAATTCTGAGTATAGCATTTAGTCCTACAATTTTTTTTCCATACAAGCAAATAGATCCTTAAATTTTACTAGATGTACTGAAGATTTTGATCTAGGATCCTTCTTAGGTTCTTTTTTTTTTTTTTGTAATGAAGTTAGAGTCAGTTTTGGATAGGAAATCAATTTGAAATCTATCCAAATTTGATTGATTTGTTTCCTTGAGTTTATCAAAGTATATTTTGATACTTTCTATGTGTTTAGTAAATTATATTTACCCGGAGTGAGTTATGATTTCTATTTAAGAGGAAGAATTATAAACCCTAGAGTTAATATTATTTTTTTATTGATAAATTCGTCATTAATATTACTTTGTGATTCGACATTATTTTCTTCACGTGTTCAAAGATTTTTTTTATGGATACAAGACTTCTTTGCTGGATTTCGATGTTTTACTTATATGTGTTGTCAATTGGTCTCATAACCACGTATCCCTAAACTTTGATGGCAGACAAAGCTCCTATTACCATATCCAAGCTCTAAGGATTTGAACGAGAGACTAAAGCCTCCATCAACTGACTTGCATTAGTAGGCGCTTGGACCTCAAACAAAATTGAGATTGTATTGGTCATGATGGTCACCAAAGAGAAGATCCGACTCCATAGGATGAATCCAGCAACGATGATCACAAATATTCGTGTTAGTAAAGGCTGTCGAGGACAAAAGAACTATAATGCTGAAGGATGCAAGATGAAGATTGATCTATTTGTTGGAAAACATGATACGCAACAAGCAGAATATGCATATCATGACTACTATTCAAAATTAATTAAAAATTAGAAGAATACTAAAATGCTTTCCGGATTTCTTCAATAATCTGTCCCAAAATCAATCTGAAATAGCTTCTTCAAGAAAAAAACCTCCAATTGAAATCCATCCATTACCGAAGAGGAGAAATAATGAGAGATAGGTTCTTAATTTTCTATTTGTTTTCTGTTATTCTGTATTGTTCCTTCCATAAGGCCACATATGCACCCTACATATAGGATTAGACTTGCCTTATATATTTTAATTTCAAACAATTCTTAAGTATTCAAAACTCTTTCCATAACAATTAAAGATAGAATATCTTTTCCATAACAATTATAGATTGAATACTCTTTCCATAACAATTAAGCGTTGAAATAGAATTGTATTGCATGCAAACCTCTTCTAATGACATTATTAAGACCAATTGGGTCTCATATCGAGAACCAATTATTAATCAAATTAATAATTTTAATTTAGTCAAATCCATATCCGATCAACTATCCATAAAAACTCTTTCATGATATAGGATTAATTATTTATAAATAATATATATTATATTCAGTCTCCTCTAGTATCATTTATTTTAGGCAACTCTTGTGACCAGGGCAATTCACCTATTTGCTCATGCCTAAATTGTAATTACCATTGTTGATGTATGGTATCAAATTGTCAAATGGAAGGATTAATTAAATTGACGAAGGTCCTCTAACCCTCCGAATGCCTAGTTCTTGAGTAAGTTGTTCTACCCTGCACAACTAACAAATCGTAAGAGGGAGGGGTTGGGTTCCCCGATTGTTCCTCCGATGATCAAGTCAATGATTTG